GAGGAGCATCTTGTGTAGCAATTAGAAGGCATTATGGTGTGAAATTTAAGCACTCTTCATTTGTTTAAAAATGTCCTGCCTTATATCATCAGTTGGGGATACATCCAAACAAACTCATCAACTGAGGTTAACTTCAATTGACATCAGTTACTTCAAGCAGATTTTTCAACCCACATTTTTTTAGAGTGAGCCCCTCACATTAACTTCCTCTGATCTCTTTTAGGAATTTATCAAGGAGCTGCTCTCTCGGATAAGAGGCATGAGGAAGCTGAGCCCCCCGCAGAAGAAGACTGTGTAAAATTTATGGACTTTCTATTATTTCATTCATTGGGATGCTTTGCCAGGTCGTGTACTTATTGCCTCATTTGTGGTACTTTAAAGTTTTATGAATCCTTCGTTGGAAGAACTACTGGGATGTCTAGAGAGGAGCCCACGCTATCTGAGCAATGTTTTCTGTGGAAAATGGGAGCACTGGGTAGCGATGAATTCTCTGCTTTAAACCAAGTACTGTGTAATATTCTCTCCATGAAAGCAGGTCAAAAGGAAGCCAGCAGATTATGCATCTCCCTTCTTAGAAGTAGGTTCTGGTCACTTCTGTGCCTGGGCAGCAGCAGACCAGAGGGGGCGCGCTCAGTGGTGAGCAGAGGGAGAGGTGGGGAAGCCTCTCCCACCCTCAAGAAAGTTGGTAGAGGAGCATTGGCTGGTCGGGAAGCTCGGTGGAGAGTGCATTTCTGGTTTCTCTAGTGGCATATGGTGAGGACTCTGGCTCTAGGCACCCTGATTCCCTTGCCTGGAGCTAGGCCTGGGGCACCTGCCCTGCCCCTCTTAGTTACACACAGGCTCCTTGGGGGAGGCTCAAAATTCAGATGGACTTGGTGGAGTCAAAGGTCAGAGTAGGAACTCTTGCTTCCCTCCAGGAAGTCCTGCTGCCTCCCCACAAAGGCCCCACCTACAGTGAGCTATGTCTGGGGGGGCCCTGTCGGAGAACAGGGGTCAGGCATTTTCTATCAAGGGTGCTTTGAACATATTTTATTTTTTAAAAGAACTATGTTTGTGAATTTTATGTATACTGGCAAGCTTTTGAAAATGTATTTAATTTTGTAATGTTTACCAATGATTTCTTTACAAGCTATTTACTCAAATAAATGGAGCTGCTTACAACTCTGCTCACTGTTTGCCTCGTAAAATATGGCCACGTGCTGACTTGACTCTGTCAGGCGCTCTGCAGAGGAGGGGCCAGGCTGCTGTGTCCAGCTGTTCCTTCTCAGGCTTTGGGTCCCGGGCCTCTCCTGATGAGAGCAGCGGAGCTGGAGGACTTTCCGGGGTTGAGAAGGAAACAGAGGGTGAGTTCCGTGCACTTGGTCCCGCCTGCCTTCTGTTACAACCCTCTCCTTGGCCGTGCCCCTTCATCTTATTAAAGCTCCCCTTTACCCATCTGATATAAATCCTCAAGAAGATTTCAGATTAATCAGGTATTCCCATTACCATGAGAATGCCGTGCACCCTGTAAATACAGAAAAATGCAGGATTTGTACGATTTTCCTTAGGCTTGACCAGCCCAAGTTATGGTCTTCAGATGAAGCAAGAACGAGCTTTTCCTCCGAAGGCCTCTGATCCGGCCACAGAACACACTCCCGCCTTCCCTCCCTTTCTTCACTCAGGGCCTGGCATCACCTGATGTCCCCTGAGCACTCAAGCCACAAGCGTGGGCCTCGTCTGACTCCCATCTCTGCCCCAACACACCCCCAGTCACTGTGCTCTTCTTCCCCTAATACCTCTCAGATCTGTCCCTTGTGAACCCTTGCCTTGATGGCTGGAACCGTTGGAGTTGGCTTCTCCACGTCCAGTCTTGCCTCTCTCTGATCTGCTCTCCACCCGGTAACCAGAACAATCTTTTTGGAAGACAGCTCTGATCATTCTACTTCCCTACATAAAATCCAGACATCGCTACATTTCTTACAAGGAATTGTTCTCTGGCTCTCCAGCCCCACCTCTCGGCCTTGCACTAATGGCTAGTCTACTGAGTTCTTTGGGATATCTGGAATGTTCTATGCATTTTCTCCTCTGAGGCTTTGCAGAAACTATTGCCTTGGTCTGAAACCTCGCCGTGCCCCTTCATCTTATTAAAGCTCCCCTTTACCCATCTGATATAAATCCTCAAGAAGATTTCAGATTAATCAGGTATTCCCATTACCATGAGAATGTCGTGCACCCTGTAAATACAGAAAAATGCAGAATTTGTGCGATTTTCCTTAGGCTTGACCAGCCCAAGTTATGGCCTTCAGATGAAGCAAGAATGAGTTTTTCCTCCTAAGGCTTCTGATCTGGCCACAGAACACACTCCCGCCTTCCCTCCCTTCCTTCACTCAGGGCCTGGCATCACCTGATGTCCCCTGGGCACTCAAACCACAAGTGTGGGCCTCGTCTGACTCCCATCTCTGTCCCCAACATACCCCCAGTCACTGTGCTCTTCTTCCCCTAATACCTCTCAGATCTGTCCCTTGTGAACCCTTTCCTTGATGGCTGGAACCGTTGGAGTTGGCTTCTCCATGTCCAGTCTTGCCTCTCTCTGATCTGCTCTCTACCCAGTAGCCAGAACAATCTTTTTGGAAGACAGCTCTGATCATTCTACTTCCCTACATAAAATCCAGACATTGCTACATTTCTTACAAGGAATTGGTCTCTGGCTCTCCAGCCCCACCTCTCGGCCTTGCACTAATGGCTAGTCTACTGAGTTCTTTGGGATATCTGGAATGTTCTATGCATTTTCTCCTCTGGGGCTTTGCAGAAACTATTGCCTTGGTCTGAAACCTCCTCTCTGCCAGCAGGCTCTATCTGAAGAGCTTCCAGTTTGACCCCTCATGGCACGTATCCATAGTACTATTACTGTCAGTTCCCCTGTTCTTCTCTTCTGTTAAACTAGAACCCTTGAGGTTGGGACTGGATTTTATAACTCAAGACCTGGTCTTGTGCTCGGTCCATCAAAGGGATCAATATGTGTTTGTCAATGGAATAAATAACACAAAAGGTTCTTTAAGAAAACTAAATTGTTTCCTTCACAGCTGGGAGAGTGGTTCTGAGACCTTAATGTACATTTGTTTCATGCGGGAAGCTTTAAAAACTGCTGAAGCCTAGACCCCCCCTCCTGACCATTTTAATCAGCAGCTGTAGGAGCAGATTTTAGGCACGCGTCTTTACTAGCTCCCGGACTGAGCACCCCTGGGCCACTGGGTCATTCATGTGTCGCCTGATGCGTGAGTTTGACCTCAGCTCACCGTGTTTGTGCTGTTACCGCAGGTGGCAGCTATGACATCAGCACGCTGACTATTTCTCATTTTATTTTCTGCTGGAGAGGAATGAAAGCACAGCACTGGGGAATGACTCCTAAGTTCCAGCTTCTGGTCCAGTGCTCCTTCAACACAGAAATCTAAGGTTAAACTTTACCGAGTGGCACCCATTCTCCACAATAATAATTACAGTTCCTGTTTATGTATCACTGTGCTAAGGGTTTACATGCCTTATCTCATTTAATCCCAACATTAATGTTACCAGGTATATTGCACAATCTTCATTTTACAAATGAGGTAACAAACTCAGAAAGGTTGAGCAGCTTGCCCGAGGTCATGCAGTTACAGAGCTGAAATGCCAACCCAGACCTGTTTGACTCCACACCCCTTCACCATGAGGCTTTCCTGCCTCTCACAGGGGCTTAATTTCATCCTTACTCACATGAGCGAAAGCCGTGAGCTGCATCTGATGTGAGCTGGGCCCCCAAGCCTGTGTGTGGGGTTTGGGGTGCCCTGATTGGAGAGGTTCCCTGGCCACCTACTGGTTCTTCCTCACCCCAGAGGCTCCCTGCTCCTGAGCTGCAGTGTAGCTGGCTCTGTGCTGCTTCTCCCCTAACAAAAGGCTCCTGAATGTGGCCGTGCTGCTGAGCATAGACTATCCTTTCATCAGGCTCCTGAGAAGGCAAAACTGGGAGAAAGAGTGGCTCAGGGTAAGGTGGTTTGCAATTCCTGTAACAGGTAGGTATCTGATTTTCATGTACCGCCTAGAGTCCCCGCGAAAGGTTGTGCAGAGTCAGCTTCTCAACAATAGGTATGTGATTATACCTGGCTCTTCCAAGATGATGCAGTGGTTGGAAACATGAGGTCTTTTTAAAAAACAAAAAACAAAACAAAAACCCTTTTTTATTGATTTCAGAGAGAGGAAGGGAGAGGGAGAGAGAGATAGAAACATCAATGAGAGAGAATTATTGATTGGCTGCCTCCTGTACACCTGTACACCCCCTAATGGGGATTGAGCCCCAAATCTGGACATATGCCCTGACTGGGAATCGAGCCATGACCTCCTGGTTCACGGGTCAATGCTCAACCACTGAGCCACACCAGCTGGGCACCTGAGGTCATTTTGAGCCATGACTACCACTTCCCTACCACTGACTGAAGGGGCCCAGGCCAAGACAGAGCCAGACTGGCCCAGGCACTAGGCCTACCTCCTGGAGAAGCAGGTGGGAGAGGACCCCTTTCCCTTCCATAGTGCAGGAGAGGCTGTAAGGGGGAGCCAGACGCTTGCCCTGTGGCCTAGCTCTGTGCTGGGCACTGCTCCACATCAGCCTGCTGGGATTGAGTCTGTCATTCTTTATGCATCTTCATTTTTAACAAAAAAAGTTTTAAAAGTTAAAAAAAATTAGAAATTTTTAAAAATAGAAAAAAAGCTTATAGGATAAGGATATAAATAAAGAAAATATGTTTGGATAGCTGTACAAAGTGTTTGTGTTTTAAGCTTAGTGCTATGACAAAAGAATCAAAAGTTTAAAAAATAAGTTTATAAAGTAAAAATGTTATACTAAGCTAAGGTTAATTTATCATTTAAAAAACATAAATTCTTTATAAATTGAGTGTAGTCTAAGTGTACAGAGTTTCTGAAGTCTCCAGTGTGTACAGAATGTTCCAGGCCTTCACACTCACTCATCCTCACTCACTGACTCACCCAGAGCAACTTCCAGTCCTGCGAGCTCCGCTCGTGGTAAGTGCCCTCCCTATACAAGTGTACCATTTTTATCTTTGAACCATATTTTTTACTGCACCTTGTTTATGTGTAGATACACAAATATTTACCACTAGAGGCCCAGTGCACAAATTCGTGCATGGGTGGGGTCCCTTGGCCTGGCCAGCGATTAGGGCCCTCTCGCCCAGTCCCAATCAGGTGATTGGGTCTGGCTGGCTGGAGGAAGGGCCTGTGGGAGGTTGGCCGGCCATGGGAGGCTGGCGGTGGGAGCGCACTGACCACCAGGGGGCAGCTCCTGC